AGAAAAGACATTCCCATAAATAGAAGTTTCAAATTGAAATATGATAATTCAAGAAATACATACTAACACCAGTTCCCTTGTCTAAGACCATATTTGAAGGAATAACCACCTGAAATGGAATTGCATCTAAAGTCATACCTTTGGGCTATTGGCTTTCCAAGTGAGCTGCAACCGCTAAATCGTTCGATTTCTAAAAAATATTGCATAAATATGTATATGCGTTTGGGTTTTGCAGGACTAACTGTGGGTCTTAAAATGACTGTAAAATGAAGCCTGTTCTCTAGTCTATATTTTTATTCATGTTAAAAATGGCATCAATCATAAGGAAACARRYATTGAATATCATCAAATTACATATAAYAGCAATACTGAGCCAGAAGCAGCATATCATAAGTTTGAACCAGCAGGCAGCCACAACAGTTCATAGCATGCATTGGAATGGTTATGGACTTATGTGAAACATTCAATCAATGTGTACTTAAGCAGGGAATGGTTATGGAGTTATGTGAAACATTAGATCACTATCACAAATAAGCTGACTCATATCTTAATTTAGAGATCTTAATTAGTAGAGAAAGTGACCAGAATTAGTATGTATCAGATCATGAATAAGGTGCATATAATGTATATGTTATAAACTATAAATTAATGTATATGTTTCCTTGTTAATAGCTTTAAGTTAAGACAATTGTGTATTCTACATCCTTGTTAAGGCAACTGCATTCTTCATTTACTGTTTGCATTCTCTACTGTATCCATATACATAGATATTCACAAATGGTACAAAAATAAATTTTAAAACAACAGTAAAGCCAGATAAAATTTAAAATAACAGTTAAGACATATACAGTTGCATTTGGTAAAACAAGTTCTGAACACACAGCCATATTTCTAAGTGACATTTGAGAAGTTGAAAATCTTTGTTTACAGACAATTAAATACAGACCTGCACACATCTCCAAACTATATATTTAAGTAACTTAACTCGGTTTACCTAACTTTTTTGAAACTCAAATTGCCAAATACCCAACTGTCAAAATTTATATCTTGGATAACAAATGCAAAGCAGTGCAAACAGAAGGTATAGGGACAGTCGTGTAGAAGCAGTGCAAACAGAAGGTCATATAGGTGTAAGTAGTGTAAAGAGAAATATGGACTTAAATATGGACTTTTGGTTGGGTTGAGAAATATTGACTTAAATAAAGGGTTTTCTGGGAAGCATTCATGGTGAGAACAAAACCTTTGTGGCTTCTATCAATCTCTTTGAGATCCAAGCTCAACCTAAGTGACAGAAGCCAGGGAAGATGCATCAAACCACACTATTATATGAAGAATTTATTATTCTCGTAGATGTTCCCTCCTTGCTTTTGAATGCAGTAATTTAGAGTAGGTTTTAACCTTATTCTCAATGCTTATTCAAATTAAAATGTCATCCCATCATCCTTGTTTATTGGAAATGACCCTTAACAGTATATAATAATATTGAATAAGAATTTGATAATTTATTCTGCCATACAGGAGACTTGAATAAAGTCTGCCTTTTTAAGCTAACAGCCATATGCTAACCTGTTCATGTTTTCTTTTGAAGTTGTTGGTTGGTGATTTAACTCATTTAGTTTCTAAATTGCAGGCGTGGGCATCTGTTTGATTACACTTGTGCAATATTACTTTAAGCTCTGTAGATGTATATACCATATGGTTGCTGCAGGGTGCATCTAGAAAGCTGTGGAAGAAGGTTAAACCCTTAGAGGGTTAATGCTACATAAATGTAGCAACCCATTAAGCTCTGTAGATGTGTGTATATATATATATATATACCCAACCCAGAACAAATAATCCCAATAATTATACAACTATTGATTACAGTTTGAAGATGCTAAACAATAACCCACACGGTACACCTACTTCCTTTCAATTTCAATTTTTTTTTTTTGAATTTTGCTCGTTCAAAACAAGAACAATATAAAGAATTTATACCTCAAAATTAGCTAACAATAGCAGCAACGCAGCAAATTCTTGAACTGAAACAAAGTCAACAGAATATCATATAAATAAAAACTTTTCTAACAAAAATCATTCAAAGACAAAACATGATTGACATTCATCTAAACAGATTCATGACGACCCAGATAAAAAAGACATCAATGTACCAACCCAGATAAAAAAGATCAAATACGAAACTTCATACCTCAAAATCCGTATATTGATAGTAGCAAATTCTCGAACTGAAAACAGAGTCAAAATAAGTCATCTAATTTGGACGTGATTTCTTTGAGTTACTGGATAGTGGATAGTGACAAACAGTAAATTAGAAGCTGGAAAATACATAAACATTGAAAMACAAAACATCAAAGCATCCTTAATTAGGGATGAGAGCAGATAACCAAATAACAACAAARTGAATTCTAAAATCAAGCAAAACCATCTTGATGAGGAGATATACATAAACATAGGAATGGAGCTATGAAGAGTTCAGTGTTGCAGCCACACCCAGTAATGAGAGCTTAAGTACAGACTACAAAGGGGAAACGAAATATTACCACTAACGTGCTCCTATCGCTGTAAAATTGGTGAACGAAATCAGGCTGCGTCTGAAGCACCTGATAATATTGCCCAACGAAGTACGTCCCAAACTAAAGAGAAATAGATTACCCAACGATATGTCAAATATATACGCATCTGGGAGAGTCTGTTGGAATCGATATCATCTCAATCGTAATCTGATGAAACCGATGAAATCGATAGGGGAGAGTGAAGACAATCGATTTCATCAAAATCTTGAAATCGATAGGGGAGAGT